GATTTTATACATGATAATGTCCTTTTTTTTTTTACATGATAATGTCCTTTTTTTATTTTACAATAATGTTAAAGCAAAACCACAGCACTAACGATTGAATCTCTCAGAAACACAGCAGTTATTTGTTTGGAGTCGATCAGTCTAATTATTCAGTGATTCATTTATAAACGGTCATCTGTTGTTGTTTCTTCAGTTTAAACTAATCAGTTGAACAAATGAACCTATTAAGTCTTTGCGCTACCTGCTGGCAGTTTTAGTACTTTCAATTTTAGTACTTTCAATCACTAAAATCTTCAAACGAAGTCACTTCTTCATCTAATATTGAATTAATTCTTATATTATTTTATCTTTCCATGATTTTATCTTTCCAGTAAATAATTTTTGACTGGATATTTTTCAAGACACTTCTATACTGCTTAAAGAGACATTTAAAGGCTTAACTAGGTTATTTAGGTTAACTAGGCAGGTTAGGGTAATTAGGCAAGTTATTGTATCCGCTTGTTAAGTGGTGACGTGTTTGTGACGTATGTAATACTGTTTCCGGGTTCAAGCCGCCATTCATTTGAGTGGAGAAATCATTCGTTTATGATCACGTTTTATTCCTATCACACATTAAAGTTAATTTTATATAGAAATCATAGAGTACACAACAATCTCTGGGCTTGCTGCATATCAAATACCAAAAATTTAACAATTTATAAAAAAAAATTAATCACTTTCTGGCCATCTGATATTAGGCATGGACATATACACTGCGATCGTGATTTTCGAAAGCCTTCGCTTTGTAAACGTTTATTATGACCATTTCATGAGTCTCCCCATTCAGTTGAATATAGTGCTTGGACCCGGAAGCTGCTTCGCGTGACGTCACACTTAACAAGCGGATAACGATGGTTTGTTCTTCTAGAATATCAAGAAAAAAATGGCTTAAAGAGACTAATAATTTTGATCTTAAAATGTTTATTATTTTTTAATTAATATCTGCTTTTATTGTAGCCGAAATAAAATAAATAAGTCTTTCTCCAGAGGAAAAAATATTATCAGACATACTATGAAAAATTCCTTGCTCTGTTGAACCTCTTTGGCAAATATTTAAAAAAAGAAAAACCTTCAACTGTATATCATGGCAAAACAAAATATCACAGTGTCATGTTTTTCCAAAATCATGCATCCCTACATCCAGCTTTTCTAACTAAAACATCTTCCTTTTGAAAGAGTCTATTGAAGTTGTTTTATTTAAAGTGATTGTGTTTTCACAAAAATAGAAATTTCCTCTTCATTTACTGTAAACTTTTATAAATTTCTATCTTCTGTTGAGCACAAAGCAAGATTTTCTGAAGAATTCTGGGCTGTTTTTCAGCCATTGATCTCCATAGTAGGAGCAAAAAACACTGGAAATCTTTTGCCAACATTCTTCAAAATATCTTCCTCTGTGTTCAACAGAATAAAGACACACACAAGTGGAAGATGAGTAATTGATGACAGATTCTACATTTTGGTGTGAACGATCCCGTTAAATAGCTTGTATTCATTTTCTCCTGCAGGTTTGGCTTCGGTCTGCCCACATCCAGAGCGTACGCCGAATACCTGGGCGGATCCTTGGCCATCCAGTCAATGCAGGGCATCGGCACGGATGTCTACCTGCGCCTTCGACACATTGATGGCAAAGGAGAGAGCTTCAGAGTTTGACATTGTGCTATTTTTAAAACCGCTTCTGTTCAGTCTCGGTCGACTCCAGCCAGAACCGGATGGTCAACAGTTAACCTTTCACTCATATTACCTGTCCTTATACGCAAGCATCACACAAGGATCATGTTTTCCGAAGATTATGGGGTGTCGTGCTTGGGATTCGCACTGCAGCGTTGTGTTTGTGTAGTTCACTGTGATTTCGTTTTGTTTTTTTAAAGAAGAAATATCAGCCTTAAGATTAAAATCAAGCATGTTAACAGTCCAGCGTCACCGGAAGATGATTTCCAGACAGACACATCCTGGTTTTCATCACTAATATGAGTGAACCGAACTCTGGAGAGATGTATTGTTCACTCTCAAAGGCTTTTAGTGATCTTCTATGAACTCTGAATAGAGGTTGACTGCCTTACGAAATAAGACTGAAGAAACGTCGCCATCTTGCTTCACAACAGTTTGTTCAGTTTTGACATTTCACGTTATTATATACCATATGAGTTTGCTTGAAATGGTTGCTTGAGGTTAGACCAGCGCATAGTTATATCATTTTTTTTTTGTCATTGTCTTTGAGAAGTAGCGTTTATATATGTTAATAGCTTTTGTTTGACACCTTTTGATGGGTTCAGTCCGGTTCATGTTGTTAAGCTTAACATGTTTACCGGATTTAAAGGGAGAGTTCACTTAAATGTAACTTCTGCCATTTATTTATCCTTCAAATTATTATTTTGGCAAACACAAAAGATATTTAGAAAAATGCTGGCATGAATTGACTTTAATAGTATTTTTTCCTACTATGGAAGTAAATCTCTGCCAGGATTCTTCAATCTATAATCTTTTGTGTTCAACTTAATTCACTCATAAAGGTTTAAAACGCCGTGAGGGAAATAAATGATAGTTTTAGGGTGAGCTATGCCTTTAATTAGTATTGGTCCCCAAATGACATTTGAAATAGTAATTGAACTGCTGGAGAAGTTCACAAATACACATTTATTTCGTCGTCACATGTTTCGTCTTGTAATGTTGTGCCTGTGGTTTCTTTTCTCTCATTTTAAAGCAAGAAAAGGAGCCTTAAGTGTGTCTATGAGTGTGTATGATTTATTTTCTGTGCTCGAGTGCTGCAGATATGTTGCCCACTTTTGCCCCCTGCTGGAGGAGTTTGAGTATTACCTTGACTTAAAACAAAATGGACACACTGATGAGGATTTAGTCTGATGAATGGTGTGTAATGATGGGTTTTGGATGATTCAGAATGAAACTAACATGCACATGTTGAATCCTTTGTTCTTGTACTATGCCAAATTGTGGCATGATGCACCCAGAGTGTTACCTAGGATGGGATCATTTTATTTCATTGTTTTTTTTATGTTGAGTTTGCATTGCATAGATGCCAAATACGCTTAGTTTTTGGGCATTATAAAAATATGAAAGAACAGTTATTTTTCTTGATTTCTTTTTCTCTGGATGTGTATTGTTATGCTCTTCAAAAAGCAGAAACCAACATAGAAACTGCAGAGCATTTATTCATTATGCTTAAAATCATTTACAAAATCAAGGCCATATCATTTCTTTTGAAGAAATGTTTGAGCAATATTTTCTTTTAATTTTGTTTGTATTTTACATTTTGTGTTTATATTTATATATAATTATATATATTTTTATATATAATATTTAATTATATTCACTCATGGCCACTTTATTAGGTACACCTTACTGGTTTGGACCCTCTTTTGCCTTCAGAACTGCCTTAAATCTTTGTGGCTTAGATTCAAGAAGGTACTGGAAATATTCCTCAGAGATTTTGGTCTATATTAACATGATAGCATCACGCAGTTGCTGTAGATTTGTCAGCGGCACATTCATGATGCAAATCTTTTGTTCCACCGCATCTCAAAGGTGCTCTATTGGATTGAGATCTGGTGACTGTGGAGGCCATTCGAGTTTAGTGAACTCATTGTCATGTTCAAGAAACCAGTTTGGGATAATTCAAGGTTTACAACATAGCGCGTTATCCTGCTAGAAGTAGCCATTAGAAGATGGGTATACTGTGGTTATAAATGGTTGGACATGGTCAACAACAATACTCAGGAAGGCTGTGGCATTGACAAGATGCCCAAAATCCGCCAAGAAAACATTCTCCACACCATTACACCACCACCAGCATGAACTGTTGATACAAAGCAGGATGGGTCCTTGCTTTCATGTTGTTCCGACCTTACCATTTGAATGTCACAGCAGAAAGCCTCTATTGTCCAATTTTGGTGAGCCTGTGCCAATTGTAGCTTCAGTTTTCTGTTCTTCGCTGACAGGAGTGGCACTTGGTGTGGTTTTCTACTGCTGTAGCCCATTCTTCTCAAGGTTCGATGTGTTGTTTGTTCAGAGATGCTCTTCTGCAGACCTCGGTTGTAACAAGTGGTTATTTTGAGTCACTGTTGCCTTTCTATCAGCTCGAACCAGTCTGGCCATTCTCCTCTGACCTCTGGCATCAACAAGGCATTTGCGCCCACAGAACTCATTCTCTGGATATTTTCCCTTTTTGGATCATTCTCTGCAAACCCTAGATGGTTGTGTTTGGAAATCCCAGTAGATCAGCAGTTTCTGAAATACTCAGACCAGCCTTGGCTGATTAGAAATTCGCCTTAACGAGCAGTTGGACAAGTGTACCTAATAAAGTGGCCGGTGAGTGTATATAGACACACGCACAAATTTTGGCTACAATAATTAGAATTTTGCTTTTAATAGTTGTGTCGACTTAGTACACGAATATATCAAGCAAGGTAAAACGTCCTAAATATGACTCCGCGTTTGTATATTACTCAAATGTATGGAAATCACACTAAAGGGGGCCGACCCACGTCTAAACTGACCAATCAGAGGCCACTTAAGGCCTGTCAATCATTTCGCGCGTTTAGACGTATATGGTTTAGACATTGGTTGCCATGTCATGCCTCGACATAGAGGATTAATGTAAAATAGCAGAGAAAGTAAAAATTCATTTGATTAAAGAAATGATTCCGGGATGATAATGAACAGATATTACAGACACACCAGCACCCAAACGTAGGAGAGATCACGTGACACAACTAGTCCGAATCATCCGCGCGAACCAATTCTTTGAAACGTTTTACTTTAAAGAAACTGTTCAAACAACCGATTCAGTGATTCTTTTAACTCAGCGCGCTGTTTTAGTCCATGAATTCGGTCTTTATTACGGGTTTATTAAAAAAGGCAGCTCAAATAGTCCTTTACAACCTAAATATATATATATATATATATATATATATATATTGTTCAAATTTATTTAGTAATGTCTCAATATACATTGACATAAGATGTTTCAATAACGTTTGTTAAAACTTACTCATACAGTATATTTACACACATATTTCCAGGCTAGTACATGTTTTATTTGTAAAAATCTGCTCTTTGGCTCGTTGTGAGTCAATTGTGTGGTAGAATGAATCGCTGACGGCGGATTCTGAATCACAAACGGACTATTCAACTCATGAATCTTATTCGTTCAACCAAAGATTCGACTCTTTGAGGATTTGGACATCGCCAGAGCGGAAAAGCGAGTCCAGAACTGGAGCTGTCATTTCTTTCGCAGATACACTTTCTGTCGGCCCTCATGTGGATGTGAAAACAAAACGAGACAGACAGCAAAGGTGAGTAGGATGATGATGACTGTCTGCTAGTGTGTGTATTTAATAGATCTGTGATGCTTTCTCTCTGCGTGCTTCAGTCTCTGATAGCCAAGAAAGGAGAGGAAGTTGTGTGGTGATGATGAGAAACACATCTGTGGCCTGCCGTTCTTTATGTAGACTAGTTGATCTCCGATTTGCAAGTTAATAAGCCTGACCTCGTAGAGACACGCTTATATTCAGACTTGTATTCAAGCTTTATTTTGGTGCCGAGTGATGATGATGATGATGTGTTTTGCGTCTGACGTGGCGCTCATTTAAATCACCCACACAGAAGCTACGTACACCTTTAAAAATAACCACACGCCGTTTAAAACACCGGGCTGTGTACAAAGCTAAGGAACTGCAGTGGCTCTACACTGTGATATACGATTGAGCAGCAAATTCTTACAAAATAGTATAGAAATAAACTGTCAGGCGATAATGCTATGGCTCTTTGATTTATACGAGGTTGTAAGTGGTTTCCTAGATACAGACAGTGGCATGTAAATGTCTTGTCACACGAAGTGAATGTACACAAAGCGTTTAACGCTTGTCAGCTAATGTTATTGGGTAATGCTTTCAAGGCCATTGGATCATTTGTAAATAAGGCACACCCGTTGAATTATTTTCTCATAATTCAATTTATTCGCTTATGATATGGTTACCTCACGAATCAATTTTTTATTATATTTATTTTCGATCAAAATATCATACATAAAATATCATCAACAAAAATTACATTTCAACATGGTCGAAAATTGAGTGGAATGAAGCACGAGCTTATTATTTTGCCACCCCATTACCACATGCTTCATTCGTCTATTACTTAAACTTATTTCTTCTTTTACTCATCTCTCTTTTTTTTTTTTACAAGAGACATATTTTATCCTTTTGGCACCTTTGACATATTATATATATTTAAATCCATGTGTATCTTTACATTTTGTAACAGACCCAAAGAAAAAAAACACACTGCAAATAAACATTAATTAAACTTTCATCATACCTTTCTTATTGTATCCTTTTTTTCAATCACCTTCATCATTATATTCCTTTAATAATATATATTTATACAACTTTTTAAACTGATTATTTTGCTGACATTAGCCCCTTTCACACATACAGACCTTTCCGGAAAATTACCGGCAATTTTCCGGAAAGGTTGTATGTGTGAACAGGTCCTTTTTGAAAATACCGGTAAATTCGTTCTGGCTATTTTCCGGAAAGAGAAGTTGTAACATTACCGGCAATTTGCCGGAATGCTGCGCTGTGTGAACGCAGAAGGAATATTTCCGGAATAAGCGCGTGCACGTCTAGAACGTGCTGACGTGAGACGTCTGCTTTAGCCAATCACAACAGTCAGACGCATTTACGTCCGCGCGGTTTGTGAGAATAAAAGCCTTTGAATATTTTTCCAGACGCATTTAGCTGCTAGAAGTTAGTCAGATCACGTTTATATGTTCTTCTTAATGCCAACTGTGCAAATAATCATCGATAAGATGCTTATGATAAGCCGTTGTTTGTTTACCTTCAAGCTTTGCGTGTGCCCATGAAACAGCCTGTGAGCGCCAGCACACACACATATTATGATCTCGACATGCGAAAGTGATCCTGCGAAAGTTGTTCACAATATTGATCATCAAAAGAGTTTGTAATTGTTTACAAATACAAGCTAAATGTTTACAAATACAAGCGCAGCCGTTTAAAGCTCATTTGTGGTGAATGATGTCAGAATTTACCGGTATTTTGGAATGGATGTGTGAATGCTCTTTTCCGGGAAATTTCCGTAACGTCCTCGCCTGTGTGAACAGCGCTTTTTTGAATATACCGGTAAAGTCGTTCCGTAAATTTTCCGGATATTTACCGGTATCACTGTGTGAAAGGGGCTAATGTTTGAGAGTCTGATCTAGACTGTTCCATAATTTCACACCACAGACAGCCATAAAGTTGTCCATGTTTCCAACCTCCTAAAATTTAGTTCTTCTCTCAGGTTATATATCCACCTTGTCTTTCTTCAAAAAACTTTTGTATACATTTTGGATGTAATTTATTCTTAGCTTCAAACATAAACTGCTGTTTTAAATTTAACCAAATCATTGAATTTAAGTATCTTTAATTTAAAAAATAAAGGATTTGCATGCTCCAAATACCCCACACCTTCTATCAGTCTGATTACTTTTTTCTGCATTGTACTTACGGACCGTAAATTAGATTTCTAAGTATTTACCCAAATTTCAACACAATAACTCGTATATGGCAACATAAGGTTTGGATGGTTTATTGGAGAATTTCGGATATGTGTCAGATTTATATCCTCAGACTGCTCCTGTGTGAAATACTTGTTCCTCACACACCCAAAGTCTTCTGTTTTGTCAGTAATAGTGAAATAACTGAATCATTTAGTGTATTAAACACCTGCTTGGAACTACTTTTTAGCTGTGTGTTTATCTAAAAATACGTTCGTCAGCCAATCAAAATCAAGCATTGGTATTTTGATAGATGATAGTAAGGATTATCATTTATGAATGTAGCAAGCTTTTTTTTTTATTGGAACTAGGAAGTTACTAATGCTGATGCTAGGTGAAGTGCTTATGTTAATACTGAAGTAAACTGTTCCTCTGTTAACATAATTAATGCAAGCATGTACACCGCCTGACAAAAGTGTTGTTGTTCATCCCAGTTGTAAGAACAATGTGACTTCTAGTTGATCGTTTGGAAAAGAGGCAGAAGATAGATTTTACCAATGAATCATCTGCATCCTAATCATCACAAATACTGCAGAAGACCTATTAGAACCTGCATGGATTCAAGATTCTCATAGAAATCAGTCAAGTTTGGTAAAGGAAAAATCATGGTTTGGGGTTATATTCAGTATAGGGGCGTGCGAGAGATCTGCAGAGTGGATGGCAACATCAACAACCTGAGGTATCAAGACATTTGTGCTGCCTGTTACATTATAAAACACAGGAGAGGGTAAATTCTTCAGCATGATAGTGCGCCTTCTCATACTTCAGCCTCCACATCAAACTTCCTGAAAGCAAAGAAGGTCAAGATGTTCCAGGAATGGCCAGCCCACTCACCAGACATGAACATTATTGAGCATGTCTGGGGTAAGATGAAGGAGGAGGCATTAAAGATGAATCCAAAGAATCTTAATGAACTCTAGGAGTCCTGCAGGAACGCTTTCTTCGCCATTCCAGATGACTTTATTAATAGGTTATTTGAGTCATTGCAGAGATGTGTGGATCCAGTCCTCCAAGTTCATGGGAGTCATACACAATATTAATTCTTTTTTTCCACTGCAGCATGACTTTCTATTCTATACTGGACACTATTTCTGTTAAGTGACAAGACTTTTGTCTAAGCAAAGTGAGACCTTACTGTTCTAATTTAATAATTAAAAATCAAGACATGATCATATTTTATTTTGGTGAGTTAAGTGTAATCTAGAGACGTTTGCCTTTCATATAAGACACTTCTTAAACCAAATGATTAACTAGAAGTCAAGTTATTATTTCTTGTTTCTAAAACTTGGTTAGGCAAAAAGACTTTTGTCAGGTAGTGTAGACCAGTGGTTCTCAAAGTGGGGGTCGGGACCCCCTGAGGGGTCGCGGGGCAATGAAGGGGGGTCGCCTGGTGATTTCCAAAAATCTATTTATTTTTATTAAACCATAAGAATTAACATATTTTATCCATAACTATACTGAAAATAAAAATTGTTGTTTATAGTTACTATATACTATATAGTTACTATAGTAGCTTATAGTTACTAGTTCTATTGGATTGCGACCCCTGGGGTAATTACGTTATATTAAGGGCAGCAATAGCGTCAGATGCATTTTGATTTTATAACATCAGGTTACACTTTCTGGCACATTTTAAGCACTGCCACAAATTTAATTGGTGTGTCTGTGTCCTTGCATGCAAGGTTTCTGTATTTATAACCACCTCAGAGGATATTAGGGGTCGCGAGTCACTGGCATTGTTATTTTGGGGGTCGCGGGCTGAAAAGTTTGGGAACCCCTGGTGTAGACTACCATGTATACATAAGCAGATGTGTTTTCTTTCTGGACTCAGTACCATTTTATAAATGTTTGCATTACTGACCTAAAACAATAGTTCACTAACACAGTGGTTCCCAACCTTTTTCTTTGGGGCCCCCCCCATGAACATATACAAACATTGGAGCCCCCCACCATATAAATACACACGCACGCACATACATATGTACTGTGTGTGTGTGTGTGTGTATGTGTATATATATATATATATATATAAATATATATATATATATATATATATATATATATATATATATATATATATATATATATATATATATATATATATGTGTGTGTGTGTGTGTGTGTGTGTGTGTTTGTGTAATATTAATATATAGTAATATGTATAGAAAATATTAATTAATCAGTTTTAACTTGTCTTGGCCTTCAACAAAACCAAAATTTAGGTAGGCTTTGTCATACTGTCTAATCTTTTTCTTCGCCTCTGAAGAATCACTGCATTTACGTTTGTCTGCCATTTTTGTTTTGATTTTGCCTTTACGACACGTTGACAAGCAGATTGCGCGAGTGAGCAAAATTTAAATAATTATTTAAAGTTATTTATTTGAATTATTTTCACTATTATGTTGGAATTTTAAGCATGCGTTTAGATTTTTATTTATTTTTTTGGTACTTAAAAATACATATATAATAGTAGGGCTGCTCGATTTTGGGAAAAATCATAATCACGATTATTTTGGTCATAATTGTAATCACGATTATTCAAAACCATTGCCAGTTAAAGTCAAAATTATTAGCGCTCCTGAGATTTTTTTTTTTTTTTATAAATATTTCCTAAATTATGTTTAACAGAGCAAGGAATTTTAACAGTATTTCCTATAATATTTTTTCTTCTATTTGTTTTATTTTAGCTAGAATAAAGAAAGGTTTAAATATTTTGAAACCAATTTAAGGTCAATATTATTAGCCCCCTTAAGCAATATATATTTTTGATTGTCTGCAGAATAAACTACCGTTATAATGACTTGCCTTATTACTCTAATTAAGCCTTTGAACTGCACTTTAATCTGAATGATTGTATTTTGAAAAATATCTAGTAAAATATTATGTGTGCTGTCATTATAGCAAAGACAAAAAGAAATCAGTAATTAGAAATGAGATATCAAAACTATTATGTTCAGAAATAAGTTAATAAAATATTCTTTCCATGAAACAGAAATTGGGCAGGAAAAGGTTTGCTAATATTCAAGAGGGCTAATAATTCTGACTTCAACTGTATACATACAGTTATTTTCCACCCTGCAAAGGAAAGAGAAATAAATACAATAGAATAAAAATATGAAACAAACTGTGCTTTAAGCATCTTCACTGTAAGAAAAACACTTTAGCTACAGCAGTCCTTCAGTCAAGAGCAGCGAGGGTTTTCTCGTTGTGTTTGTTTAATAATGATAAAAACACGCGGCAGAAGGATTATAGCGTGATGTCTCTTTAATGGTTTCTCTTTCACGTCTTTTGATCCTCAACTTGTTTGTTTATAACACAAATGAGGGTTAATGTAAATAATCACTAAACACCGCGTTTTGACACCTATTTGACCATTAAAGCGCTCACGTTAAGATGACTTTAGATGTCTGCGCTCCTCTGCTCGTCTCAGTGTGTGAATGAGAGTGAATGCTGACCGGCCGCATGCTTCTGACTGCGTGATCGTGCTGCACACACACATAAGCTTTTTCGCGCTTTTAAGAGCCATTTAAGAGCGTGTACAACTGGAACGTGGCAAAATATGATGCAATAATCATTTATCTCGATTAATGCTTTTTTATAATCGTTTGAAACCGAAATCTAAATCGGATATTCAATTAATTGCAAAGCCCTATATAATAGTGGAGCATTTGTATGCCTTTTTCTACCTCAATACTTATCCTCTCCCGCGCCCCCCCCCCCGTGAACTCTGCCGCCCCCCTTAGGGGGGCGCGGACCCCAGGTTGGAAACCACTGCACTAACATATGAAAATCTTGTGTTCATGAGTTTACTCCCTATCATGCCAGATAAAGATGTATGTTTATTCACCAGATCCACCATCAAGAGATACTCATATTTGATGGTACGTTTTGCGCCACAGTAAAGCCATGCAGGACATTTCAAGTTTTGCTGAATAATAGTCTTTTAGTTTATTGGTTCGGTGCAGTGATTATGAGTGAAACATCATGTCATCGTTGTGTATTTGCGTAATCACATATTTAACTCTTGCTTTAACATTTTACTTTTCTTTTTAACCAGAGATGTGTGATGAAAAACAGTCCTAAAGAACGGCAAAGCCAATCAGGTATAGTTCAGATTTATAATCTAACTTCTACCATCTGAGATAATAGAAAAAGTTGAACTTTTAAATAAAAAAGACTTTGATATTATTTTCTGCTGGACATATGGGTTTGATTGGAAACGAACGTGCAGATAAAGCAGCTAAGGAAGCCCCACAGTTGGAGATTACAGAATGTAAAATTTCTGTATCTGATTTAAAATGCGCTTTAAATCTGTATATTACCGAGAAATGGCAAACGGAATGGGATGAATGTAGGAATAACAAACTGTATGGAGTGAATCCATTTGTAAATGAAAGAAATAATTATCGTTTTGAAAGTAGACATGACCAGATAGTATATACGAGATGTAGAATTGGACACTCAAGACTTACACACACATATTTATTGAAAGGGGAAGAAAACATATTTCAGTAGAACTTGTATTTTTAAATGATATTAGAGAATGTTTTGATTCGGGAAATAGTTTAAGTGAAATGTTTGAAAAGGAGTTTTCTGGAATAATTAACTTTAATCAAACTAAAAGATTGTATATGACTGTTTTCAGTGTTGTTTGCTATTTGTATGTCATTTGTTTTGTTTTTTACAATGTATGTTTGTTAAGAAACTGATAAGATTTTATGATTATATATTGTGTATTTAGCATATGTTTTTGCCATGAATATAGCCAATGTTGCTGATATGGCTAATAAAAATAATAAAAGTTCCACCATCTGAGCATTTTATCAGCTTCAAAATGATGGTGTCAGATAGTAATGTCATGCCTTTGTATATTTACCATACTAATATTCATACATTTCACATGGTGTCAAATAGAAATGCTCACCTGGAGGGTAAAATAAGCCTTTTGTGATTTGTCTGGCACTTATTTTACAGGGTTTTTTGCTAGGTACTAATATAGTATAGGAATTTAATTAAAATACCAAAATCAGCATTCACCTATACAACTGCAAATGATGTACAGGTGAACAGATTCATCCATAGTACAAATGCAGTGCTCTAAATGGCAAGTTAAACATAAAGATAGGATTAGGATTAAGACTTTAGGCATATTCTTATTCTAAATTAAGTTAATCTAATATACATATAATTTTATTTATTTATCTTTTTAAATCAGGAATGAATTGAATTAGATTGTTTGATATCACAGACTTAAAACATTAAAGGATCAGATTTTCAAGTTTTTTTTCTGTATGTCAAAAATGCAGCAGGTGTCCAAAACATTTCCTTCACAACTTTTGTTTCACTTTTGATTTTTCAGAAATTCGATCTAAATATTCATGGCTTGAAAAAAATGAAACTTTACAGGACTGTATTGCAGATCTGGAGGATTTGCCCTCCAGGTTTCCACACTTACTGTTAGCAAATATCCCAACAATGCGACATACTATCTGTGTGATGCACGCTTTCCAAAAGAATCTAAATTTCAGTGCAGAGAAAACAGCAGTCATTTTAAATGTATTTACATAGCCCTTCATACAGTTACCGTAAATTGCTAAACAGCAGCTTTACACTATTAACAATGAGACCAATAGTAATTAAAAGTTGTTTAAAGCAAACATTTCCAGATAGTTAACTTTAGCAAGCTGTTTTAAACTACTTTTATACTTAATTTTGTTCTTCTGTTTTGTAAATTGAAACCTTCAAGCTTTTGTCACTGCTATACTGTAGGTACATCACAGTACATCAACATCTATAGCGACGTCTACACCAATATCAATGGAGTTTTCATCTAAAAATGTTCAATCTGAGATCTAAATGTAGCTGCTTGATTCATATGGATTTATTGGCTTTGAATTTTTGAGTTTTTGAGTTTTTATACGCTCTTGATTCAAAACAAAATCATAAGTTTCGATGCTTCAAGAAGCATTGTTTTGAAAGCAGCCTTCACTAGTCCATTAGATGTTTTCTTTCCCTTATTTGTTTGGCGCATGTACTCGTGTGCGATCAGAAATCTAGTGTCTGCCTCTACTTTCACTTCGCTCCGAAGCCCCAGCTGACCCTCTTTGGCCTAAGGTATTCGGCAAGCCAAAAAAGGCTGGCCGCTGGCCCAGAGAAAGCCCTGCTTTGGCCCGATTAGGCCCCGGAAGTGACAGTGGAAACGTGGCTATTGGGCCATCGTGAATACAGCATTTTAAAATGTAGCTACTTTAAAGAGCATTTTAAAATCGTAAATATTTCTGTTTTCCAAAAAACACTGTCTCAATATGGACGGAAGGTTAAACAAAGACTTATTAGTGTGAACATGGCCTAAAGGAATTATGAAGTACAGTAAACAACAGTCAAACAATAAAACTATTTGTATTACATTGTATTAAGAATGTTTGTGGTTTGTGAGGATACATTAAAATATTATATTTAACAAATACCAGTTCGCACCATCAAATGGCACACTGCATGTACACACTGCAAAAAAAAAAAAACGCTTGAAAAAATTCTTACTTGGATTTATTTTGCCTTTATAGTCCAAATATCTGAAAATGATTGAATCACGAAGCATTTGACATTGTAAAACATTGTCAAAATTGTCTTGTTGCATTAAATCACTAAATGGCCTAGGAGCTAAATACATCACAGATATGCTGACTGAATACAAATCCAACAGATCACTGAGAACTGTAGGATCAAATTCCAAGAGTTCAGTCAAAGCAGGGTGAATCAGCCTTCAGCTACTATGCTGGAATCAGCTTTCAGAAATGATCAGATGTGCTCCAACATTAAGGCTGATTTATACTTCTGCGTCAAACGTCGCGTATGCTACGGCGCTGACGCATAGCCCTTCGCCGTGGCCATCGCCGTCACTGACGTGCACCTCTCAAAAAATGTAACGACGCGTAGCGTAAGCTCTGTGATTGGTCGGCTTGGTAGCGCTGACGAGTCTGGGCGGGACCGAGAGCCGCGCGAATGGCGCGAGCGATTGTTTACAAGTGTGGAGTCCCGTGAAGGAGCTCTGGATGGAAAGTTTTGTTTTGTGTTTACCTCATAGTTAAAGTTGTTGCACGTCCGCCGGTTCCTGCCTCAAAATGAGCAAGTTTGAGCCACTTGTACATCCCGGAAGTGTTCAGGAAAAGCAAAAAAGCAGAGAAGAAACTCGACACAGAGGAACATTAACACCTCACTGCCCACTAGCATTTCGGAAGTGTTAATGCAGACCAACAGAAACAGCGCGCAGAAGTATAAATGCACAGCCACGCGCGTTGCCTGCGCCGTGGGTTACGCCGGTCACTTGACGCAGAAGTATAAATCAGGCTTTAGGCACGTTCAAATCAAGACTGAAAACACATCTGTTTAGCTGTGCCTTTACTGAATGAGCACTGTGCTGCGTCCCACTATTATGTCTTTCTTTTCTTTTTTTCTTTTATAACCTGTTTTAACACATTGTAATCTGGTTTTATCTTTTTTTATTCATTTTATTGTTTGTTTGTTTTTTTCTTATACTTTTTTATTTTTGTTTATGTAAAGCACTTTGAATTGCCACTGTGTATGAAATGTGCTATATAAATAAACTTGCCTTGCCTTGTTTTAAGAAAAAAAAAATCAAAATGAAGTGAGTTTTTGCTTAAAACAAGCTAAATAATCTTCTAATGCCAGGGTAAGCAAACTGTGTCAAAAGGAAAAACAAGGTTAGTTTGCTTACCCCACTGGCAGAATATTTAGCTTGTTTTAACAAAAAAACTCACTTGATTTTGACTGATTATTTCTTAAAACAGGTTGCACGGTGTCTCAGGTTAGCACTGTCACCTCACATCATGAAGTCCACTGGTTCGAGTCTGGGCTGGGCCAGTTGGCATTTCTGTGTGGAGTTTACATGTTTTCATGTGTGAATGCAAGAGGGTACGAGTGTTCCCCGGTAATGAGTTGTGGCTGGAACGACATCCGCTGCATAAAACATATGATGGAATAATTGGTGGTTCATTCCGCTGTGGCGATCTCTGATAAATCAGAGACTAAGCTGAAGGAAAACGAATGAACTGATGAATATATGACATTGTGATTCAAAACTCTCCTTCACAGCTACTATGAGCAGTGAGCTCACAGTGCCAATGGGCTCTCCAGCTCCCGGCGGCTCAGACCGGCTGCAGGATGGCGGTGGGATGGACTACAGGGACTGGGTTCGGCGCAGTTATCTGGAGCTGGTGACCTCCAACCATCACTCGGTCCAGGCTCTGTCATGGAGAAAACTGTACCTCAGCAGGGCCAAACTCAAAGCCTCCAGTCGAACCTCAGCCCTGCTGTCTGGCTTTGCCATGGTGAGTGTTTATGTTTGTGGCGAGCTACCTAATGCAGTTGAAGACAAAATCATTCGCACTCCTGTGAAGTCTTTACAAATATTTCTCAAATGATGTTTAACAGAGCAAGGAAATTTTTTACAGTATTTCCTATAATATTTTTTTTCTGGAGAAAGTCTTATTTGCTTTATTTTGGCTAGAATGAAAGCAGTTTTTATTTATTTTTAAACATTTGAAGCTAATTTTATTAGCCATTTTAAGCAATATATATATATATATATATATATATATATATAAATAAATAAATAAATAAATAAATAAATAAATATATATAAATAAATAAATATATATATATATACACACATTTTTGATTGTCTTCAGAAAAAAACATCGATATACGGTGATTTGCGTAATTACTTTAGCTTGCCTAATTAATGTCACTTTAAGCTGAATAGTAGTGTCTTGAAAAATATCCAGTCAAAGGCAGGGCTAATAATTCTGACTTCAACTAAATGTCTGGCTCTTCAATGAGTGTGTTGTGCTCGCGGTCGATTGTGGAAAACTCCGGAAATATAGCATGTGGGTTGTTTTAATTCTTAAAAGCATTAGATGGATTGGAGATAAGATCTAAAAGGAAATTTTCTTGTGACACTTTGTGGCCTGAGGAGAGCATAACAGCGAGCACCCGTGTGACAGGAAGCATTTTTAACATTCATTTTCTCCACTGGGATTTTCAGCATTCTTGAGTAAAGCGTTTTGAAAGCTTCCGGCTCAGACATGAATTTCTACATCGCAAACGTTTCGATTTGAAGTTGCAAGATTTAAGTTCAGTGATTGTGCTTATTATAATTATATTAAACAAAGAACTTGTTGGTTCATTCCACAGTGGCGACCCCTGATAAATAAGGGAACAAGCCAAAGGAAAATGAATGAATCAATTTTAGTGATTGATTGCTACTGACTGAAGTGTAAAGCGATAGTTCATCACAAAATGATCTTGTGATCAACTAAAGTATGAAATGTTTGGTTCATGACAGAATATTTGGAAGGGAGTCAGTGTAGGCTGACAGAACTTGCTGCAGTGATTCATGCGAGTGGGCAGCAGTTGTGGGATCTTTTGTCAGCATTATGCATTTCTGCATTGCATTCAGGATGTTTAAACGGTGCTATTCAAAACCATTGGGGGTTTTACGATTTTCTTCATATGTTTTTGAAATAAGCAGCTTATGCTCATCAAGGATGTATTCATTTGATCTAAAATACAGTAAAATGCTCTATTTACTGATAAATATTACATTAAACTAACTATTTTCTGGCCTTTATTCCTGTGATCAAAGCAAATTTTAGCATCCTTTATCCAGACTTCAGCATTACATGATCCTTCAGAAATAATTCTAATATTTTAACTTGTTCAGTGTTGAAAACAGGTTTGGAATTATATTATGAACATTATATTGCAATTAATAACACCGTTAATTGTTTGTTGGTATTTAATTTATGTGTGCTTGTTGGAAAAAAAGTTTTTATGTGGCATTAAGATGTCAAAAACTGTATTTTTTAACATGAACAAACAATTATTTTTGTTAGTGTTAGTGAAGGAAAATAAAGTCATTCATTGTTAGTCCTCGTAACTCATAGTGCAATAACTAATGTTAGCAAGCACAACTTTGGAATTTAAATTCAACGCAAAAATAAAAAGAAAAATCTATCAATAGTAACAAATCGTCATGTCGTCCAAACCCTGCAGCACAAATGAAGATATTTTGGATAAAATCCCAGAGCTCCATAATGCTCTAAAAACAGCAAGACGAAAAATTTGTCACATGCACACAGACCTTGCGCAGAAAGTCCAATGCGTATTTATTAATCCATTGCGAAATAATTCACAAAACAATACATAATGGAGTCTTCGAGTAGTTAAGAAAATTTTTCAAAATTTCGGATTCAGTTTGCAGTAACCTTTAGTTTGTGTTAGTAAATGCATTTCAGTACTAAATAAAAAATAACCATCTTTTTTTCACGTTCAAATCTGAAAACTTTGTTAGTAAATACATGTCAGTACTAGATTAAACAACATATTTTTTTAGCATTTAAATCCATAAAATGTCATGTCACTACTAAATAAAACAACCTTTTTTACATTGGAATTCGAAAAAATCGTCACGTGCATACAAACCTTGAACATCGAGTCGCATGTGTATTTGTGAAGATAATTTTTCGAAATTTCGGATTCAGTTTGCAGTAACCTTTAGTTTGTGTTAGTAAATGCATATCAGTACTAATTAAAACATAACCATCTTTTTTTTCGCATTTAAATCTGAAAAATCCGATTGTCAATACTAGATAAAACAACATTTTTTCACATTCAAATCCGAACGCACGCACACACGCACACAAACCTTGAACAAAATCAGATGCGTATTTAATAATCCATTGCGAAATAATTCGCAAAACAATACAAATTTGAGTCTGAGTCGAAAAGATGATTTTTCAAAATTTCTGAAAAATCCGATTTTCAATACTAGATAAAACAAAATTTTTTCGCATTTAAATCCGAAAAATTACATGTCACTACTACGTATTTAAATCCAAAAAAAATCGTCACATGCACACAAACTTTGAACACAGTCCGATGCGTATTAAATAATCCATTGTAAAATAATACACAAAACAATAAAAAATGGAGTCTTCAAGTAGTGAAGATAACTTTTCAGAATTTCAGATTCAGTGTGCAGTAACCTTTAGTTTGTGTTGGTAAACTAAACACAAACTTCAGTAACTTTTCTTCACATTCAAATCTGAAAAATTCGTTGCACACACACAAACCTTGCACATCGAGTTCGATGCGTATCACATTGATCAGCAAACAAGAACAAAAGGCTCAACTAAAGAAAACAAATCTCACTGGTTCTTGCTGAAGCTCAAACATACCATGTGACTAACAAGAATGAACCTCATTGGTTCTCACACTTCAAGCAAGCATGGCATGTTTGTCCAAATCTGAGTGCTAAAAGCATTCGTTGCTGATATAAGCCTAAATTGGATTAAACGGCTCGATTCATGTGGACGTATTTGTACAATTTTGAAGCAGTTTTGTGTGAGTAGACTTTCAAATTATTTATTAATGCGTATTTATTAATCCATTGCAAAATAATTCACAAAACAAGACAAAATGGAGTCTTTAAATTTCAGATTCAGTATGCAATAATCTTTAGTTTGTGTTATGCCGAGTTCAGACTACATGATTTTTAAAGTAGACTTTTCACAGATGTTTTCACACTGCATGACTACCTGGGCTAGCGTTTTGTCACTGCATTGTTTACACTGCATGGATCGGCGATAGGGGCTTTCACATTGCATGACTTTTCAATAGGAAGAATCGCCGACAACTTTGTCAAAACTACGTCTCACAAACACTAAGTATATCTTTTGATATGGGGTAGAAAATGTGCATATTTGCTCACCTGGGTTTGAAGGATATTAGCAATTTCTCCTCAACTTTCTTTTTTAACTTTCTGTATGAAACACCAAACAGACACGTGTGCTCCTGTCAGACCTCATCTAGTTTGTCCTCTATTTTTTGGGTGCTAATAAACTGTAAACGAGCGCTTTTAACTTTTCCCCCAACCTCCCGCTGGCCTGCAGATACACACACGCAAGTGAATGCTGCTCTCTCATTGGCTGTAGGCGATCACCGTTGTTATTTTCAGTCAAAACTCTATTCACTCGGCATAATTTAAATTGCAGACAGCTCCAGGTAATTAGCACGCCAAATATCTCACAGGCATCGGCCATTAATTAGCAACGATTTGCCTGTGATTTTAGGTATTTCATTTCTCAAAACCTGTCGGCGAGTCAAAATTGGGCTAAAATCATGCAGTCTGAACTCAGCATTAGTAAATAAATGTCACTACAAATAAAACATAACATGCATTGTTTACAATCTCTCCTAGTTTGGTCAATTTAGCTGATAGCGACACTTTTGACTTCAACTGAATAACCGTTTCCGTTTTCGCCATTGGTTCTAATGTGTTGGTGAGCAGGTAGCCATGGTGGAGGTTCAGCTGGAGATGCAGTACAACTACCCTCGAGTCTTGCTCATCGCCTTCAGCGTATGCACCACAGTGCTGGTGGCCGTCCACCTATTCGCCCTCCTCATCAGCACCTGCATCCTGCCCAACGTAGAAGCCGTCAGCAACATCCACAACCTCAACTCCGTCTCCGAGTCTCCTCACGAGAGGATGCACCACTACATCGAGCTAGCCTGGGGTTTTTCCACCGCTCTGGGCATCCTCCTGTTTCTGGCCGAGGTGGTGCTGCTCTGCTGGATCAAGTTCCTGCCGGTTGACTCCGGGGCTCAGTCGGCCTCAGCCCTGGTGGCTCTTAAGCAGAACTGCAGCACTCCTGCTGTCCAGCCCGGCCACAGCGGCTGGCAGGCGGCTTTAGCCTCCACTATCATCATGGTGCCGGTGGGATTGATCTTTGTGGTGTTCACCATTCACTTCTACCGTTCACTAGTGCGGCACAAAACAGAGCGCCACCATCAGGAGATCGAGGAACTGCACAAAATCAAAGTGCAGCTGGACGGGCATGAGCGTGGCCTGCAGGCAGTCTGAGATCTTCCAGTCGGGCAGCGGTCCATCCATCGCTTGACTTTTTGAGCTTTCAAGCACATCAGAAACTCCTCCTCGAGGAGTCTTTCTTTTTGTTTTCTTCTGAGAGGAAATGCCTTGTCGCTTGACGGAAGGATTATTTGTGTAGAAACTGAAGAGGCTTTACAGCAGCAACAACAAAAAGGTGCATGTTTACAAGATTTCAACCACAAGGGCTATTTATTTATGTTTCTTTTGGCTTTAGGTCATGTTTGGATGCATCTTTAAGTGCCATTTTCTGTTTCCATGCCTTTAATTGACCCCAAAATGGAAATTGAGCCTTTATATGCTTCTACTGATGTCATTTCAAACCCATAAAATAGGTTCGTTTCGGTGACCCAAATAAAGGTAAATTTAATCGCATCCAAGCGACTTATGTCCCCACATTTTAATTAATATATCGATTAACCGTTTAATTGAAGTCTTCTAACACTGTTGCTTTATATAATGAACAGATTTATCAGTTTGATTTATCAGCAAACAAAAGACAGAACAAACCTCATTGGTTCTTGCTAAAGCTCAAACATACCATGTGACTAGCAAGAATGAACCTCATTGGTTCTCACACGTCAAGCAAGCATGGCATCTTTGTCCAAATCTGAATGCTGTAAACCACAGGTGTCAATTCTAGTTCCTGGAGGGACGGAGCTCTGCAGAATTTAGTTTCAATCCTAATTAAACACACCCGATCAAACTAATTTGGTTCTTCAGGCTTGTTTGAAACCGACAGGTAAGTCTGTTGGAGCAGGGTTGGAACTAAACTGTGCATAGCTGTGGGCCTCCATGCACTGGGTTTGACTCCTGTGCTGTAAAGCATAGGTCTTATATTCAATTCCTGGAGGGCCGGAGCTTTGCACAGTTTTGCTTCAACCCTAATCAAACGTAGCTGATCTAGTAGTATCTAGTGGTCTTGAACACCTTGATTAGTTGGATCAGCTGTGTTTGATTAGGGTTGGAGCAAAACTGTGCAGAGCTGCGGCCCTCCAGGAATTGAAGATAAGACCTATGATCGAAATCAGGGATGTCAAACTCAATTCCTGGAGGGAACAGTTTAGTTCTAACCCTAATTAAACACATATGATCAAACTTATTGAGTCCTTCAGGCTTGTTTGAAACCTACAGGTAAAGCTGCGGTCACACTGGGCTTTTCCTCCCATAGACTTCCATTCATATGCACGCGAATTGCGTCAGACCGGAAATGCAGGGTCATGCGTCAAGTTTCAGAGGTTGCTGCGGTGCAAAGTTCAAGCTTGGTGAACTCTGGACCTGTGAAATCGCATCGCTTGACTGCTTGAGACCAATCGAGGATCAAAACATGACCCCTCTGGACAAACATTTAAAATATGGAGCAATCGCTCGCTTTTTAAATGTCTAATCATCTTGTTTAATCCCCCCACTTTTCGCAGCACCGTATGACAGAATTCCGCACACACAAACTCTAGTGTGACCGCAGCTTTAGTGTGTTGGAGCAGGGTTGGAACTAAACTGTGCAGGGCTGTGGCCCTCCAGGAATTGAGTTTGACATCTCTGCTCTAAATATTCTTTGCTAATATAAGCTTAAATTGGATTAAACGGCTTGATACCTGTGGATTTATTTGTAAAACCTTGGAGCAGTTTTGTGTGAGTGGACTTTCCAACTTGAGGCTCTTGATATCTTTTCTGAAGATGAGGAAAAGTCTTATGGGTTTGGAATGATATGAGGGTGAGTATACTATGACAGAATGTTTATTGCGAGGTGAACTTAAACTGTAAATACAAAAAACTGAATGTCAAAGAGGGTCTGTGTTCAGTATCATCTCCTGTTTCGCTTTATTTCGCCGTGCCATCCTGGATCAATAGTGTGCCACTGATAATGAGACCAAATGAGTTGGTCTTTGATCTAGATCTAGAGCTGCCAGAGTCACTGCCAGAGCATATTTGACTGAATTATCCAGCTTTTGCATTGCACATGCCTGTTTGAGCATCTGTTTAAAGTTATCTATGTCATCATTTACTCCTCTACATGTCACTTCTAACAAATTCAAAGCAATGGAGTCGAAATCCACACCTGACACCGTCTTAATCTTTCAATGTACAGACAAAATTCAGCAGGAAAAAAAGGAAGTCATGTCTAAATTGATGGTTTAATGCTCACTTCCCTTTAAGAAAACTCACGCACCTCATACAGTTTATATTTAATTGTGCATCTAATACTATAATCTTTAATTCTGCAAATGTGTGATCCCGAAAACAGATTCATTTTAAGCTGAAAATGAAGTCTTGCTCATGCTAGGGTTATATGTAGTGCAGTATTTTTAGCTTGGGTGTGAAATCTAGACGCTTTAGCCATGCACTGTGCATTCTTGTATTTCATTGAAGGTTTTGCATGTCTAATATAATGCACTGTCACTTGTCAAGCACAAATGTGGAGTTTTTTTTTAAATCCATGCTTCACTCAAGGCCTATTGAATGTTTATTGAATGTGGGCTACTAGAAGTTTACGCAGTCGACGACCATGGTCTCGGTCAAGAATGAATTGCTTGAATAAAACTGACAAATTTGCTCAAATGAACAGAAAAAGCTTGCTTCATAGGATGAGCTGAAGTCGTTTATTGTGAACCTGGTTGCCAGGACGATCATCGGGCTCAAAATAAGTTCTGATATTTTATGCATCAAGTCAATCTGAGGACAACATTCCAGAGCGAAAAGAAGTCGGACCAATTTCTGTCTGCCTTAACTAACTAAACTGACAAAAGTGCACTTGTAGTGTAGTCCGTGGAAATGTTGTGTCTGGTTTGTTTTACAGACTGATTTAATCCGCTGTCTGTCTTTCAGAATGTTAACTTCTGAGCTGTGGCGAATAACAGCTTGAGAATCGATTTTGAAATTTTAAAAATACATCAATGTTCTCGCTTGAATTGATTTTGAATTTGTTTTTAACAGCAGATGGCGCTCTACGCCGATTTTTAACAGCAGATGACGCTTTATGATGGTTTTTATTGGGAGATGGAGCTCTACGCTAGTTTTTAACAGCAAATGGCGCTCTAGGCTGGTTTTTAGCAGCAGATGGCGCTCTAGGCCGGTTTTTAACAGTAGATGGCGCTCTATGCCGGTTTTTAACAGTAGATGGCGCTCTATGATGGTTTTTAACAGCAGATGAGGCTCTGCCCTTGTTTTTAACAGCAGATGGCGCTCTATGGTGGTTTTTAAAAGCACATGGCGCTCTATGCTGGTTTTTAATAGGAGATGGAGCTCTACGCTAGTTTTTAACAGCAAATGGTGCTCTAGGCTGGTTTTTAACATCACATGGCGCTCTACGCTAGTTTTTAACAACAGATGGGGCTCTACGCTGGTTTTAAACAGGAGGTGGAGCTCTATGCTAGTTTTTAACAGCAAATGGTGCTCTAGGCTGGTTTTTAACATCACATGGCGCTCTAGGTTGGTTTTTAACAGCAGATGGGGCTCTACGATGGTTTTTAACAGGAGATGGAGCTCTATGCTAGTTTTTAACAGCAGATGGAGATCTCTGCTAGTTTTTAACAGCAGATGGTGCTCTACGCTGGTTTTTAACAGCAGATGGCGCTCTACGCTAGTTTTTAACAGGAGATAGAGCTTTACGCTAGTTTTTAACACCAGATGGCGCTCTAGGCTGGTTTTTAACACCAGATGGCGCTCTGAAGGTTTTTAACAGCAGATGGCGCTGTGATAGTTTTTAATAGCAAATGACGCTCAACGCTGGTTTTTAACTGTAGATTGGGCTTTAAACTACTTTTAAACAGCAGATGGAGCTCTACGCTAGTTTTTAACTGCAGTTGCTGCTCTATGCTGGTTTTTAACAGCAGATGGCGCTCTACGCTAGATTTTCCCAGTTGATATTGTCTGCGCTAGTTTTTAACAGCAGATGACACTCTATGCTAGTTTTTTAACAGCAGGTGGTCCTCTTCTCAGTATTTAGCAGCAGAGGGCTATCAAGGCTATGCTAGTTTTTCACTGCAAATGGCAGTCTAGGCTAATTTTTAACCGCAAAAGGTGCTCTACAGAAATTTTTAACTAATTTCTAACTTGCCTGACTTCTGAGTGTTTGAGTGTATTGTTAAAAAAATGCCATCTTCAGTTAAAACTATCCTAGAGCGCCATGTGCAATTAAAAACTATCCTAGAACGCCACCCGCTGTTAAAAACTATCCTATAGCACCATTTACTGTTAAAAACTGTCCTATAGTGTCATCCACTGTAAAACCGTTTCTCGAGCACCATCTGCTGTTAAAAAACAAGCCTAGAGCACCATTTGCTGTTAAAAACAAGCATAGAGGGCCATCTGCTGTTAAAAGTAAGCCTAGAGAGCCACCTGCTGTTAAAAACTAGCCTAGAGCGCCATCTGCCGTTAAAAACTATCCTAGAGCGCCATCTGCTGCTAAACACTAGCCTAGAGCGCCATCTACTGTTAAAAACTTGCCTTGTGCACAATCTGCTGTTAAAATCTAGCCTAGTGACAATTTGATGTAATAACTAGCCTAGAGTGCTTCTGCTGTTAAAAACGATCTTGGAGTGCCATCTTAAAAATTAGCCTAGCGCCACATCTCCTGCCAATAGCTGGCCTAGGGCGCCATCTGCTGTTAAAAACTAGCCTAAATTCCCATCTGCTGTTAAAAACTGATCTTAAAATCGATTCAAGAAGGAATATTGAAGCCCTTTAAGAATTGCAGAATTGATTTCTTGAATGATCTTTCACCACAGCTCCATAAACTTAGTTTCATAACACATCAGTTTAATTTATTAGTATGTTCATCAGGCTGCATTTTGAAGTTCATAAGGTATATCGATGCACTGCAGTTTGAACACTCAAACTCGACCAAAATTGTGTGTATACTCTGCTTGTGGATGCTTTAAGAAGCACTTTGCTTTTTTTGTGTATGTATATTTGTTTGTGTGTGTGTGGATGAATACATTAGTATAATTTTTTCATACTTCTGTTTCCCTGTGCCACACTATCAGTAAAGAAACATAACAAATATCTAGTGCAAATCGTTTTCCTGTTCAGAACATGTAGGCGAATATTATGGAAATGTTTTGTTGAGCATGTCCTTTCACTCTCTGTCTGTACTTGTATGTTAATTTATGTCAAATAAACACAAGTTATTTTGTTTACTTCAATTTGATGTCAGTTGGGTATTTGACCAGCTTTGGTCAGACTGCAGTTTTCCTTGTGACATATATTTTCTATTTCTTGATACAGGGATTTAAAAATAAATATTGCAAAGTATTAAATGGCTTAAATGCAGTGATGTAAAGTAACAAATTACAAATACTCAAACTACAGTAATTGAATAGTTTAAAAAATGTGTACTTTTACTTTCCCTCGAGTACATTTACAGTGCAGTATTGGTACCTTACTCCAGTACTTTCCTTCAATCTGCAGTCATCACTTTCTTTTTTTCTTGTCTATGGGGATTAGTAAAGTCAGTGCTGTGATTCCTGTTTAATCAAATCACACAAAGAAGGTAAATCATCTCTTAATGAACTACCTCAAGACATGTGTGATTTATAATTGCAGCAAACTGATTGGAAGCATTGAAAGTGTCCAAGAAGATTTCCAAAATCTTTCCACGCAATGAGCCAGAGACTGTTTAGATGCATGTCACTGACGAGAAGAATGGCATCGTGACGTTGTATCCTAACGTCATGGGGACATAGCTTTTTGTTTAGAAATGAAAATTGGGTTGATGTCAATGTCCAACATCCAACCTAAAATCAACCAAATATTAACGTCTAATCATTTTACAGTTTGACGTTGTGTGGACGTTACCACTATGATGTCTAGCAGATTTTTGGTTTTGGTTGCCATACCTGACAAATAAATGTCAGTACTTGACATCAATACCGTGTTCGTTTAAGATGTTGGCTCGATGTTGGATTTTGGTCACTTCCTGACACAACCAATTATCAATGTCTATGATGTTACAGCTTGATGTGTGGACGTTACCACTATGAAGTCTTTCAGATGTTGGATTTTAGTCGCCATACCTGGCGAATAAATTTCAGTATTTAACGGCAATAGAGTGTTCTTTTAAGATGTTGGCTCGACATTGGATTTTGGTCACTTTCCTACACAACATAAA